TGGAACCCCCATGTGGATGTCAAGGGGCTGGAGGATGCAGCAGGGACGGGGTTGTGGCAGTGTAGACGGGGTAGAAGTAGAGGGCGGAGGCAAGAGGGATGAAGTGGGAGACAAAAGGAAGGGAGTTCCTCTGGTCGCTATGTGGAGGGACCTGGCGCCAGTAAAGGGTGCAGGCAAGAGACGAGGTAGGTGGTAGGGCAGAACACATGGTGACTCCACGGCGTGCTGCATCGGCTACGTGGAATTCCCAATGTGAGGAGGGTAAACATTAGAGATATTAAAGGGTGTGCAGAGGGCATGGTGATTCCACGGTGTGCTGCATCGGCTACGTGGAACCCCCATGTGGATGTCAAGGGGCGGGAGGACGCAGTGGATGTTAAGGGGCTGGAGGACGACGCAACAGAAAGGACATGGCGCCAGTATAGGGTGCAGGCAAGAGATGAAGTAGGTGGTAGGGCAGAACACATGGTGACTGTACGGCGTGCTGCATCGGCTACGTGGAATTCCCAATGTGAGGAGGGGGCAGGGATGGGGTAAGCGTTAGAGATATTAAAGGGGGTGGGGCAGACAGAGGGCATGGTGACTCCACGGTGTGCTGCATCGGCTACGTGGAACCCCCATGTGGATGTTAAGGGGCTGGAGGACGCAGGGACGGGGCCATGGGAGTGTAGACGGGGTGGAGAGGTTTACTTGGGGTGGCAGTGGGACATGGTGCAGGCAAGAGATGAAGTAGGGCAGGCGTGCTGCATCGGCTATGTGGCATCCCCAATGTGAGGAGGGGGCAGGCAGTGGGACATGGCGCCAGTCTAGGGTGCAGGCAAGAGATGAGGTAGGTGGTAGGGCAGAACACATGGTGACTCCACGGCGTGCTGCATCGGCTACGTGGAATCCCCAATGTGAGGAGGGGGCAGGGATGGGGTAAGCGTTAGAGATATTAAAGGGTGTGGGGCAGACAGAGGGCATGGTGATTCCACAGTGTGCTGCATCGGCTACGTGGAACCCCCATGTGGATGTTAAGGGGCCGGAGGCGGGGCCGTGGCAGTGTAGACGGGGTAGAAGTAGAGGGCGGAGGCAAGAGGGATGAAGTGGGAGAGAAAAGGAAGGGAGTGCCTCTGGTCGCTATGTGGAGGGACATGGCGCCAGTATAGGGTGCAGGCAAGAGACGAGGCAGGTGGTAGGGCAGAACACATGGTGACTCCACGGCGTGGGAAGGGGTAAGCATTTGAGATATTGAAGGGTGTGGGGCAGACAGAGGGCATGGTGATTCCACGGTGTGCTGCATCGGCTACGTGGAACCCCCATGTGGATGTTAAGGGCGGGAGGACGCGGCAGGGACGGGGCTGTGGCAGTGTAGACTGGGTAGAAGTAGAGGGCGCAGGCAAGAGGACGATGAAGTGGGAGACAAAAGTGCAGGCAAGAGACGAGGTAGGTGGTGGTAGGGCAGAACACATGGTGACTGCACGGCGTGCTGCATCGGCTACGTGGAATCCCCAATGTGAGGAGGGGGCAGGGAGGGGGCAAGCGTTAGAGACATTGAGGGTGTGGCGCAGACAGTGGGGCCAGTAGAGGGTGCGAGCAAGAGATGAGGTAGGTGGTAGGGCAGAACGCCTCCACGGCGTGCTGCATCGGCGGGGAACCCTCATGTGCAGGTTTGATTGGGTTTGAGGGGGAGGCGCAAGTAAAGGTGCTGGGGGGCAGAGAGAAGGTATGGTGATGCAAAACACGCATGAGCATTGGGGGGGGGTGCATATAGAAAGCAGGGTCACTCCACAGTCTGCTGCAAGCTAAGATGTGATGGAAGACGTGCTGCGCTCGTTTGGGCCTGGCGTCACAAGTGGAAACGAGCGCGGAGAAGTAGGCCAATCGAGGCTCGGCGAGCAGCCAGCCGCGATGCACCGGGGGGTCTCCAGCGGCGATGTAGAACGATTTTTGTAGAAGCCAAGAGGTGGTTGGAGACTGAATGATGCTAGATTTTGTGTTTGTTTGTGATTGGGAGCAGAAGTGGAATGATTTTGTAGAAGCCAAGAGGTCGTTTGAGACTAACTAATGCTAGATTCTGTGTTTGTCTGTGACTGGCAAAGTGGAAATGAGCGTGCAGAAGCAGACATGAGGATGGTGACTCCACGGTGTGCTCCACAGCCTCCTGCCGTCCCTCTGCCCGGGCCAAACGTCACTCCTGAACCAAATGAAAAAATCAAGGTTCTGGCAGGCAATTCCACTGTTCCAGGCGCGGAGAGCAAGCCAGAACCCTTCGAGTCAGGAAAACACCCTGGCACGGCGTGACGGAACAGCCTCCTGCCGTCCCTCTGCCCGGGCCAAACGTCACTCCTGAACCAAATGAAAAAATCAAGGTTCTGGCAGGAGTCAGGAAAACACCCTGGCACGGCGTGACGGAACAGCACTGCCGTCCCTCTCCAGGCCAAACGTCGCTCCTGAACCGAATGAAAAAATCAAGGTTCTGGCAAGCAATTCCACTGTTCCAAGGCACAGAGAGCGAGCCAGAAGACTCGCATCGTGGCCCCACGGCGTGACTGCCGTCCCTCTGGCCGACCAAACGTCACTCCTGAACCAATGAAAACATCAAGGTTCTGGCAGGCAAATCCACTGTTCCAGGCACACAAAACAAGCCACAAGACATCCTTCCAATCAGGAAAACACCCTGGCACGGCGTAACGAAACAGCCTCCTGCCGTCCCTCTGCCCGGGCCAAACGTCACTCCTGAGCCGAATGAAAAAATCAAGGTTCTGGCAGGCAATTCCACTGTCCCAGGCGCAAAAAGCAAGCCAGAAGACACCCTTCGAATCAGGAAAACACCCTGGCACGGCGTGACGGAACAGCCTCCTGCCGTCCCTCTGCCCGGGCCAAACGTCACTCCTGAGCCGAATGAAAAAAGCA